TTTAGAAAAAAATTTGTTTATATATCTGCGTCTACCATCACAAGCAATGTCGGAACCTTGGTCAGACGAGCAGGAAACTTCTTTTACCAAAGGAAAAGATTCTGGAGGAGATTCAGGAGACAGAGAAGAAGAAGATCGGAGACAGAGAAGAATGCATGAAGCGGGTCCTTCTTTTGAACGCCCAAAATCTTCTTCAACTCCAAAAACACACTTGATTGGCGGGAAAAGGTATGAAAAAGTTCCATCTTTCATGGAAGAAGACGAGCATGATGGAAGCGCCGAAGATATCGAAAAAAGGTTAATAGCTCTGAAAACGAATACAGAAACTGAGCTTCCCATATTCCCTTCTTCAGGGAAAGAAAACGAGCTTTCTTTTGAAGATAGGGCGGAAGCGATTGAAAGGGTAAAAAAATACTTAAAAATACAACACCCAAATGTTTCAGAAAGACTGCTTGGAAGCGTGCGTTTCACAACAGATGCAAAAAGAAACCCATACGATATTGTAGTTGTTGGCGACAAAGGAAAAGAATACAAGGTTGTCCGTGATGACGGCAAAGGGCTTATGAAAGAGCTTTACAAAACAGCTTATTTTAGGCGTGAGATGGGGCCGTCAGCTGATGAAATTGCACGAGAACTGTGGAAAGCTAATTGGAAAGAAAATCTGGAAAAAGAAGAAAAAGACCCCAAAACAGGCAAAAAGAAAGAAAAAGAACAATTTCAAATGGGTGAGATTCGAAAAGATGGGGCAGAAAGTGAACAGATATTGCAGAAAAAAGCGGACGTCACAAGCCTTGAACAAATGAAAGATCTCAAAAGAAAGGCCCAGACAAAAAACGCATCTTTTCGAGAAATAATCCAAGATGAGGAAGCAAGCGAAAGCCAAAGAGAGCAAGCAAGAGAAAACCTCGAAGCTGGAGAGCTTGAAGAGGCTTTTTGGGAAAACGCGATTCAAGAAAGAGAAGACCCTCGCCTGTCAACTCGGGTGAAGGCAATTTTCAGAAAATACGGTCTCACGATAACCGCTATTTTGTCAGCAGCTGGCTTGGCAGTTTCAGCAGTTTTAGCCGCTCTTATGGCTTCAGCAAAAAACGCCTCAGCAGCCACTGGTAAAGCAATGCAGCAGGGTCTCGAAAAAATAGGGAATGGTCTCAAAGAGCTTGGAGGCAAACTTGCGAACCTTCTTCCAGGTTTGATCGGGGCAATTGCCTCTTTCCTGTTCAAGGCCGCCGCCAGCGTTGTTGGTTTTTTAGCCAAAAACACCTGGCTACTTATTGTGGCAGCCGTATGGTTCGCTTACGAGCAGCTTTCAAAAAAGAGAAAGCAGCGAAGCTAACAAACTACTTCGAAAGCTTTTTTACCGCAAAGCCTACAAAACCTGCAAGAACCAAAACTCCTATAAGCGTAGCTGTTTTGTTAGATTCGTGCTCTTCAGCGCTAACAATGTTTTTTTCGCTGTTTTCAGATTCTGGCTTTAGATCGTCACCATGAATTTCTTTTTGTGTCTGTGTTGAAGAAACTGGTGTTACGATATTTTTTGTAGAAGATTTGGCGCCCCCTCCAGCTTCCACAGCCGGATTCAAAGAATTATTAACTCCAAAAACGACCCCGTTTGTGGCTTGTTTCAGTTTATTGTTGTACTTTGCTGTTCCGGATGTGTTGATTATCATACTTGCTGGCATGAGCCAGGCCATAGGAGCAACGGCAAGATTCAGACGAGCCCGTGCTTTATCAAGGGCGTTCTGATATCTCTGAACGCTCAAAGCCTCGTCAAACTTTCTGATAGAATCTTCTAAAAGTACCAAGAAGTCTCTTTGCGCCTCTTTTGCTCGTCCCCCTTCGCCAATAATGCTGCTCATAATGTTGGTCTGAGCTCCAAGAAAACAATAAACGTAAGCCTCAATTCACTGGTTGATTCTCCGAAGGCCTGCTTGTGTCAGGCCATTGGCTGTTTTTGGAACAAACCAGTCAAACTGTCTTGAAGCTTCTGAGCCCGGCTGGATTTCGTAAATTGCGTTGCCTTTTGACGCTCCTCCGCCTTCGTCGCTGAACTTGTAAAATCCTGGGTATTTTGCTCCCGTTTTCATCGGACCGTGGTTTGACACGTAAATGTACAGATCACCAAGACCGTTGTTTTTCCCTGAAAGAAACCTGAAGTCAGTTGAAGGGTCAATACCGAATTCTCCGCAAATTCTTTGGTATGAGGCTTTGTCATAAGGGTTGTTATATTTGTTAAAAGAGGGGTCTCCAGGCAAAGAGCTTTCTTGTTGTATGCCCCCCATTTCGTACAAAATCCGCCGTATTGTGAAGTACACGTGGAACTGGTAAAAAGACCTTATTTGCGCTGGCATCGAAACCCCATTGTCAAAAATCTCTTTTGACACGCCGCAGGCCTGTGTCGCGCAAAAAACTGCAAAATTAAGCTGTTGGGGCCAATAGCTCATGTCAGGGCCTGCGAGCCATTTTTTGCTTTCTTTTGCGCTAGTATGTTTCAAAACTGTTTCTTTGAAAATGTCCCGAAGCTTAGCTTTAAAAAAGTCCGTATCTGTTGCGTAGAAGCGGTTTTTGCCGCCAAATATCAAACGCAGGCTTGCAGGAGTTTCTGAGAATTTAACAGCTGGAACCGGCAAGCCCGTCTTTATTCCAACAGGTGCCAGCTGGTATGGAAAACCATCGAACTCTCCGATACCAAGAGCCTGTTTCATCTCATCGCTCCAGTATTTTTTTTGTGAGCCATAAACGCTTACCCAGTCATCTGCTGTGTTTTTGAAAAAAACTTCTGCTTTCAGTGCGACGCCGTCTTTGTCGTCTTCTTCTTGGACGAGGAACCTTTTTTGTCAGCTCGAGGAAATTCGCCAATGAACTTCTTCCAAGCCTTCGACTTGATGTCCATCGAAAGATGAAGAATATATTTGTCTTTTTATATTCTTCGCGATGGTTTTGTTGACCTTACGCGCAGAAAAAAACGGGCAAACGTTTACGTTTGATTCTCCTATCAACAAAGTCTCGAAGGTCTGCCTTATCTCTTGTGTCATCCCCAACAGCTGGAAAACCCTCAAAGAAAACGCCACAATAAAGTACGAAAATGAAAATGTTAATTCTTCGAGCGCTTTTGTTTACGGTTCGAACGTTGTTGAGGCAGGAAATTATACCCCTTCGTGCATTCGTGATGCAATTGCCAATCTTTTCAAAGGGGCCGGCGAAAATCCTTTTATTTCCTTCCAAGGGCATCGTGCGGAAATTTTTATTGGAAAAATTTCTAAATCCTACTATTTTTCCGACAGTATGGCTCAAATACTTGGCTTCAGCAAAATAGAAAAATCTGACAAAACAAGGATTATGCTTAACATGAAAAGAGAATATTTTGTTCACTGCAGCCTTCTTGACAGAGATTCAAACCTTTTTAACGGAGAACGTCTTTCATGCTTTCCAATTTCAGGAAAACCTTTTGAGTTTGTGAAGTATGGAGTTTCTGGAGAAATAACTTTCAGAAACTGTTTAAAAAGAAATGAAGTTTCAACAATCCAGATTTCTGTAAAAGATTTACAAGGAAAGCCCTTTGATTTTGAAGGTTATCCTCTACTTTTTGAGCTTGAAATTCTTTAGCGCACCCCCAAATTTTCTTTTACTTTCTTTATATAGCTGGAATGCCTGTGGAAGTTAACACGCAGCCTTCCGCACCTCCTCTGTCTATTTATCCATCTCTTGAGGAAAATGTTGAGCTGCAAAACCACCGTATCGATCCGGCCGTTCCTTCTGACGACAAGGGCAGGCAGAACTTTCAGCTGCAAATCATCAACGAGAGGATGCCCTTCTTGAAAACCGAAGTTGACAAGTACCGCGAGGTCGCCAAAAAATACAAAAAAGCCAAAAAGGCTGTTGATTGGTCCATGGCGATCTGCAGCGGGCTTTCCGCGGCTCTTTCAAGCGCAAGCTTGGGTTCAGCTCTCTCTGTCGTTGGCCTCCCTGCAGCTGTGCCTCTCGGCGGTACTGGAGGGCTTTTCGCTCTGTCCTCATCAGGTCTTGTTCTGTGCTTGCGCAAAATCGATTCAAAGATCAAGAAACATCAAGAGATCACCACCCTCGCTCTCGCCAAGAAAAACACTGTTGACCACATGGTTCTCGCCGCAAACCGAGACAAAACAGTTTCTGACAAAGAGTTTGCCGACATCCAGGCTGAGATCGACAATTATGAGTCCCTCAAGAACCACGTCCGAGCCAAACTCCACCGCAAGCCAAGCCGCCGGCAGAAAAAAAGCTTTTCTCGCGAGGTGAGCTTTCAGCAGAACGCCGATGGCGGGCAGACCAGGTCCGGTACCGCCGCGATCTTCCTCCAGAACCCCTTACGCCGGAGTTTGCTGCCAAGAGCGCCCGTTCTTTCCCTCGCCGACCTCCCACTCCCGCGCCTCGCCGCCCCCCTCCTTTCAACCATGCTCCCCAGAGTTCTTCCCTGGAGGACATTGCCGAGGAGGAAGTCGTCCGCCGGCTTCATTCCGTCGGTTTGAAGCTCACTACGGTTCCAGACGCCTCGCCCTAGACCTCTACGCCTCCCGATGGACTTTGGCGTGAAACCATTCAATTATTAACTTGGAGTAATTGCGGGGCCAAAACCCGTTCTCCAGTTACTCTTCTTTGCACGCCACAAATATCTGAATTTGGTGATGGTCTCTTGGCAAGCTTGGGTCAGCATAATCGTCCCATGCGCAAAGAATCCTCTCCTGAATATAACACTTTTTTTGCCAGCTTTTCTTGCTATTTCTAAGATTTTATCCATTGTTTCAAAAGACTTTTCAGTTGTCTGTCCTCCTGAGACAGGATAAAATTGCATGTCAAACACATTGATTTGCTTTTGAAGAAAACGCCTTGGATCAACGTCTTGAACCGAGGGGGGTTTCCCGCCCCAGAAAGGCAGCTCACCTTCCACGTACTTGGCGGGCTCTTTTAGCATTTCCAGAGCCATTTGCTTATTCTTTTCTCTGTTCAACAGGCGCAGATGTGATGTTTTATATTTTTTTTATCCTGAAATGCCCGTATGCCAGAGTGTTTATTCCATCTTTCAAGATGTATCTTTTGTCGTCCATTGCGTTCAGAGTTTTCTTCATCTGCTCAATGGTGTGGATTTCGTGCTTGTCTGACCTTATCATTCTCATTACGTGAAAGTATTGCTCTTGGTTGAATATAGCGTTTTTGAAGTCTTCATGCTGAATTTGTTGCAAAGTGGCTTTTGCGACACCTTTGGCTTTTTTTCTTTCTGTACCATCTTCAGTCAAGAAGCTATACATTTTTGCCCTTATTCCGCAAAATTCTCTTATCGGCATGCCGCCCATTTCGTCTTTCATTTTGCCCAAAACCTTTTTGTTCTTTTCTGAGTAAAGGGGGTGCTCTTTTGGGTAATTGCTTGTGTCAAACCTGTCATCGCCAACCATGTCTTTGTACATGTCTTCTGTTTGAATTTGAACGACGTCGCTGTCTGTATCTCTGTACATGCTTTCCGTTTTGTCGCCATACTTTTTCTTTCGATCTTCGTGATCTCTATACATCACGATCTTGCTATTGTCGAGAATTGTCATTCTGGTGTAAATTGGTTTGTTAAGGTACACTTCGCTATGCCTTTTTACAATGCCCACAAAGCCTTGAGGATAAATAATTTGCTTTTCAAAGAACGGGCTTGCGATCTGGTGAAGAATTTTCTTTTTCTGCGTTTTTTGGTTGAAAATCTGGAAATCCATCCTGTTCCTCTTGTTCTCCATCGTTTTCCCAAAAACCGCGTTGTTCATCAGTTTGAAAAAGTCTTTTTCGAAGTCGCTTTCAGTTTTTGCCCGAAGTTCTGAGTTCATGTCAATGTAACTTTTCATCCATTTTTCTTGGTTGAATTCGATTGCGCTTTTGACCCTTTGAAGCTTCATTCCGCGAGACAGATAATACTGCAAATTCTTGTAATGAACCACGTAATCTTTTCTTGGCAAAAAGTCCATCATCAGTTTCTCGGTTTTTGAGGGTTTTTGCCCCAACTTAGCCATGTAGTATTTCTGCCAATCTTAGTATTCTTTTTCCATCACTTGCCTTGTATAGGGCGCAAGTGGGAAGTCATTGTGAAGGTCGTGAAGCTCTTCTGGGTAAACAAGGTCAACTTTCAGTATCCAGCCTTTCGGGTGATTTGGAGACTTTCTGAGAATTTCTTCTTCTGACGGGGACTCTTGCATCCACCTGAACCCATCTTTGGGGAGCATGTCTGTCATTGGGCATCCATAAAGGTTGTTTGCATCGAAATAACCAATGTATGTCGATGGTTTAGTTGGATCGTAATCTTCCAAATATTTGTTGTTCGCCTTGCAGAAACGTTTTGTTGCAACGCAAACCCCACCTCTCATCCCCTTTTCAATCATCAGGTGCATGTCGATGTCAGGCAAAAGCTCCAGCTCAACCTTTGTTTTTCTGAGAAGTGCATCCCAAGCGAAACTTGGAGCTGTTGGGTAGTTCAGAGGGTCAAGGCCGTAAATTTTTATACACATCTTTTTGAAGTTTTCGAGCACATCTGTGAGCTGAGCAACATCCGTTTTCAGGTACAAATCGCTGTAATCACCCAATGTTTTGCATCCAAACCCTTCCCACACTTTGAGAGCGTAAGAGTGATCTTTGGCTTCTATTTCTTTGTTGTTGAGTGAGTCGTAGAAGGCTTCTTTGGGTGGTAAAGAGGCCTCTTCATACTTGCACCAACTGTCGACGTATTCTTAAGGAAAAACACCTTTTCTGGAAAGTAAGTTTTTGCCATCATCTATCTTTGCTGTTCTCGGCAAATTCTCTTTTTCCGTTGTTTTTACCAAACTTGCAAGGCTGCCTTTTAAGAAATTTAAGCTGTCTATGAATTTCAGGCTTCCATACTTGATTGTTGTGTATTTTTCGCTGCTTTTGGCGATGATCTGGATCTTTTGTGGGTTTTCTTGTTCGCTGGTTATTTGTGCAAGGCCTTCCATTACAAAGTGAGCGTCATAGGCCGACAGATTATGGAAAACAACTGGGATTTCAAGGTTTTCTGGATTAATCGTTTGCGAGCTTTTGCATGCATGGTGTGCCACCCCACTGTATTTGCCTGAAAACCTGCAGAACATTTTTTCCGCGTCTCTGCCCCATCCTTCTCTGAAAAAGCTTTCTGTGCAGAAAAGGCATTCTGTCTGGTTTTTGTCAATCCATTTGTCCGTTTTGTCGAAAAAGACTTTGTGGAAAACAGGCTTCTTGCCAATTTCATGAAGAGCTTGCTTGAAACACCTTTCGTGGCTTTTACCACAGTATTTTGCTGTTTCGGGGTCGTACACCCTTTTGCAGTCAATGTAGCCTTTTCGAAACAAATCTTTTTCACAAACACTGCACTTTGTTTCTGAATAAAACCTTTCCCAGTCTGCACATGACATTTTCAAGAATTTGCTTTGAGCTTTGAGGCTCTCCTTCATGTTTTTTGCTGTTTCTTGGAGCTTTTCGATTAATATTTTCGAAGCTTTCTCACCCCTGTAAAACTCTTCGCAAAACACATTTCCATCGCTTGTCAAAGCTGTGTATGCGAAGCTGCTCATAACGTGAGCTGCTTTTTTCACTGTGTTTTCTTGGCAGTCTTTTGCATCCATTTTTTGTAACATGGCTTCTCCGTCTGCGTAAATCACGAAAGGAGCTTTCACTAACTTTTTAAAGTTTGTAAATTTCAGAGTGTTTTTCCCTTCTTCGGGCATTCTAACCACTCCTTCTTTGCCGTTGACTCCTTTACATTCTTTTTCATGATTTCCCAGCCTTTCTTTGCTCGAGTATCTTGAAAGACATTTCATGCAGTAAAATGGTCTGTGGTTTAACTGGTTATCGTGCATCAATGCATTAAAGTTTTTAATCCAGCAGTAGTGGATTTTTTCGCCTCTTTTTGCAAATAATAGGTTGATCTCTTTCACTCTTTTGGGGTTTTTTGTGATTCTACATGGTATTACACTTCTTGGATTTCCTTCTTCATAAGTGAAGACGTTGATAGAAAGGGAAGGGTTATTTTTCTCGAGTTTATCGATTTCGTGGACATGGGTGGGGAAAGAAATTCCTGTATAATCCAAACCATCCTTTTGAGGGTATTTCGAGGGTCTATCAGAATTTTTGTTTTGTGGGAAAATAGCTGATCTTAAAGCCCATTTAAGGCATTCTTGGTCGCGGTTTTTCACATTAATGACTGCCTTTTTGTTCCTTATCCACTGAGGGAGTTCGAAATATGATGAACCTTTAAGGGGTTCATAAAACGCGGCCTCGATGTAGAATTTAATGAAGCCATTGAATGACCAGCCTGAATCTTCTCTCTCAACCTTTTCGATCTGTTCTTTAAGGTGCTCGAAAAACTCTTCATAATGCTCTTCGAGAGTTGTTTTGCGAGTCTCTTGGTAATACGTTTTGGGTTGGTAATCTTCATCAGCAAAGAAGAAATCAAGGTTTTTAACTTTTTTATTCACGACTTTAATGAACCTCATGACGCATCTGAAAGAGATTTTTGCAGATTTTTTCAGTAAAACTTCTTTCATGACTACCTCTCTGAAAGCTTCTCCGTATTTTTCTTTGAAAAGGCCAACGTCATACCTGTATGGGTTTAGTGGATTGACTTGGAAAATCCACGTTCTGGCAACATCGGAATCAGAACCAAAAGTCACAAAATTTTTGGTTTGGACTGTTTTTTCTAAAGATTCAAGCATTTCTGGATCATCTTCCCAGAACATTTCTGTAAGTTTTTTGAGAAAAGGGTTGCCGTAGTCGTATTCTGTGTCAATAACAGTTTCTCCTGATGTTTCTGGAAGATTAGGTTTTGGTTCTGAAAGAAAAACGTTTGGGTTCATTTTTGCATCGCTTATTTTAGGTGCTGGAGGAGATTCTGGAAGTTTGTCTTTTTCAAGAACCTGCTGCCAAGCTCTTTTAGCGCTTGGAAAGCCAGAAACTTTCTGCTTTTCAATTTCATCCCGAACAAACTCTTTAAAAACTCTTCTACCCTCACCTGGGTCAAAACCTTGGTTAAGAAATTGATCAAAGATTTTTTCGGCCTCAGAACGACCATCGTTTGATGAGAAGTCTTCACGCAAAAGATTTTCCAGCTCTCTTTCAGCACTGGATGAACCCGCCATAAAGCAGATGGCCAAGTAGAGCATTTGTCTAATAGGGGTTCAGGTTGTCTCAGTGAGTTCAGCAGGCATGCAAGCTGAGACAGTATGAAAACTATTGTAAACTACCAAACACTGTTGAACATTTGGGGGTGCGCAGAGTGTGAAAAAAACAAAAGAGGAGAGTTTTTGCTTGTGAAAAAAAAGATTTTTCACCAATTTAGGCTTAAAACTCAAAAGCTGTTCCATTATGGACACTTCAGTAAACTACTCACAGTTGTGATCTGGCTCAGAGGAAACTCAGATTTCATGCTTCATGGATTTCCAAATATTAACAGGTCTTTCCGGGAACCTGCGGCAATAACTTTCAAAGTTTTCATTGAGGTGTTTGAGGAATTCTCTGGGGTCGCCTTCAAAAGGCTTTCTTGCAGATTCGAATCTCTGCAAATGAACAGATTCTTTGACACGCCAGTCTTGCGAAGGAGTGATGAAAGCGACGCTGATTGCCCTTTCGAACACTTGCGAACCTGCCATCGAGCAGATGCCCATCTGGCGCATTTGTCTAATTGGGCGTTCAAACTGTCTCAGAGTGCACATGACCCCAACTTTACCATTCGCACCACCCAGTCCAGACATAGGGTGCTGTACAGAATGCAAGCTGAGCCAGTACGGACACTTTTGTAAACTACTGCATGTGTATTGGCTTCACAAGTTGTTGCCGTTAACTGCCAACCACTGCAAACGGTGAGAATTGCGTGAC